GTTTTTTCTGAAGTTAAAATAAACAATTGTCATGAAATACATGTTTTTACGTAATTCTTTTCATTGTGTCATTTCTGGTTATATTAATATTTTTTCAGTATGAAGTTAATTATGTTGCTTAGTGTTCTTTGTTTTCATAGATGTTAATAAAAATAGGGTTATGAAATACTTTAGAAGTTGGAAATATCATGCCTGTACATAGGATTTGTGCATAAACTATGCATGTTAATCTTCTGGTCCTGCAAAAATTGGTTCTTGCTCCATTTCTTCTGAACTTACCCAATGATTGGGGAGCAATTTGAAAGTCTTGTGAGTTCTTTTGTAAGTCTGCCCTCAGCCTTAAATAGCAAATTTTAAAAAGGCTAATTATCTCTTTCCAGATTTACTGTTTCTTCTGGGACTCACTTCCTCTGTGTGCATAGTGACTGAGATCATAAAGAAGTTTGAAAGAAGCAAGGAAAAGATCCAGAAACGTGGAAGTTCTTCTTCGTCAACTTCGTCTTTTCTTGATGTATGATGCATATTGCATTCTTTGTTTGCAAACTTAGGGATTGCTGTCTGAAGATGTAGGAGGAAGAAAAACAATATTTGGAGGATAAAGAAATCCTAAGGGCTTTTGACAAGTCCTTTGTTTTACTGGCTAAGGATGAACGTTCATGTTTCAAGACTGTTTATAATTTAACTTCCAGCTCTGGGAGTAATAAATGAAATTATGCAACTTTGGTAACATTTTTCCTCAAACATAAATTTACTTTTGAGATTGAACGGAATTTTGTGTGTGTGTGGGTTAATTTAAAGGAAGATCCAAGCCCAAGTCCCATTTTCTGCACTTAAAAGATATAACTGTGTAAAATCCTCTTAGATATAAATATTTTAGTTTGTTTTTATTTAAAACATTGTACTATTTTACTTTTATGGTGGTGGGACTTTGCTACTTATACAAGGATGAAAAAATATTTCAGAGGCATTCCACTGGGTTTAGTCTGTCACAAGAGTGCCATATTCTAGCTACTGTATTTATTTACTTTATCCTGCAATGTGTAAGCGGCTCAAGTACCTTGTGCTACAGTTTTTTTGTATCCCGAGTTTTTTTGCACAGGATGTGACCGCTGTTGGATCACTGTTTTTCTTTTCTTTTTCTGTGATTGAAAAGCCTATACTGCAATTTGAAGTAAATGTTTGCTTTTCTTAAAAGTGTGCTGTCTCTTTGTTTTAAAAGAAACTGGCATTTACACCAGATTAGCATGCTTGTTTTGATATAACTTTAGATACAAGCTTTGCTTCATGTCCTGTTCCATGTTTACTTTAGCTTATGACTGTTAGATCACTTGAGTGATTATAAACAGTAGTGTTATTGAAATGTAGCGTATTGAATTGGAAAATGAATACACGAATCCTTGCTCCAATGGCGAAAACCCCCACCCCTCTTTCAAAGAAGCTTGGTTTTCCTTCCTCTTCCTTCTTCTACCCCGATTATAAAAATAAACTTTCTACTGTAAGTGTAACTTATAATTTTAACCTACAGAATGACTTTGTGTGTCTAGGAAAGTATTGTAATAGACTCATGTCTTGATCTGTTAAAAGTATTTTTAATATATGATAATGTCTGTACTGTAATATTCTCTAATTAGAAACAGTGTTCTTCTGCAGAATAGACTTGCAGCTGTTGTCATCCGTGTTTTCTCATCAGAGTAAGACTTACCATCCCTTGAGGAAATGCAAGCAACAACTACCTAGGGGACCTTGAAAAGAGGATGTCTAAGATCTCTAAGGAGAGTTGGAGACGTAATGGTATCTCTGTGGCTTGCAAGCATGTGGATACATATCTTTTCACACTGTAGCCTGAGAGTGTAGCATTGGTATTGGCTCTGGGCCCTGCTGTCATGAAGATCATCCTGTTGGTTAACGAGGAATTGTCGTAAATGGGCACTAGGATATTTCTGCACTTACCTTTCTGGCTGGCCCCACATGCCACGCTCAAAATCTGGGGACTTCATGAAAAACAAGGCAGTTTGGAAAGGGCTGTATGAATTTCTCTGCTATTTTAATTTTTAACAATTTTAATTGTTCTCTTTTTTCTTCCGCCCCACCCCCTGGAGATTCCCAGACTTGGTCAGGAAGTGGGGCTCCAGACAGGACATGAGCCTACCATCGAGTCTGCTTTACACATGCAATTCAGCCATTGCTCTGGCTGACCTGGACCTGCTCAATATGCGCGTTAGCTGGACTACTGGTGTGGTATAAAGGGAAAGACTGGCCCTCACCTCTTGCTGCAGGATGTTATGTGAACCACTGAGCTGGTAGGGCCTGAATGAGATGACCTGTTACAGAAATGCTCTCATGTCTTCAAGCAAAAGTTTATTTCCAGCGGTTCTGCCTTTCAGAAGTTGAACAGATTTGAACAGTTGAACAAAGTTGAACAGAGTTCCTCCGTTGAACTATTACCATCTTTGACAAGTGGGGCTGTAGTTGTTCAGTATTGTTATAGTGTATTCAGTATTTCAGTACAATTTCAGAACACTTACTAATTAACAGCAAGTTTGAGAGGTTTTTCTCCAAAACAATTGAATCAGGAGTGGGATTTTGCCACAAATTGAGGCATTTGAAAACAGACAGCAACCAAGGAATTTAGTTGCTCTTACTAAAGCATGGAATAGAGAACTTTTCAGTTTTAATAACAGCCTTTTTTTTTTTATTTTACTTTTCCCCCCAAGGAAGACTGAAAACCTATAGTGACCTAAAAAGGAAAATTGGAACATTTGATTTACATTCTGAATAGTAACCCTAGAATCGGTAATCATTTTCTTCTGCATACAGGACTGGTGTTTGCAATGAGATCTATTTCATTTTGTCAGCAACAAAGAACAGCTGAAGTCTGCGTTGAGATCACATTTTCAGTAGAACAATTCTCAATCATCAAGTCAGCACTCCCAAAGGCATTCTCAGAATGCCATGTGATCATAACAGGCTTTTTATCCGAAAGTGGAATACTTGAGTTTATCCCAGTCTTCCGAACTATCTAACTGAAGATACTTCTCAGCAAATCTGAAGAATTCAAGTTCTCCAGCACTTTTCCAATATGGGATTCAGAGTAAATTAAGACCTGTCTTCTCACAGCACTAACAAAGTGGAATCAAAGATGCCTGTGTTTTTACATTTAAGACTTATCTTAAATGTATTTCTGATGATTAAAAACCATAAGGAACGACAAACTTGGTAAAATGAAACACATGGGATCATAATGGATCAGAGGATGATTTGGATGATTAAGGATTTAAGTTTTAGTTACTAAAATCAAGAACTTTAAATTTATGAATATAGTCACCCGATGCAAATGTGACTTTGCAGACTGCTGCAAACTCAAGTCCGTTTAAAATTGGGTTGTAAAGTTCTAGTAACTTGCTGTATGGTTGAGCATAGGTGCCATCTGCTGGTAGTTTAATAAGTAGCAGTTTTGTACTGAAGACAAATATTACTAAGACTGTATCTCAAAACCAGTCTCATTAATTTATTAGATGTTACAAATCTACTCTGTTCTCATTGAATATATCATAGCAGTATCAAAACTCAGCTGTATGCTATCAGAGACCCTTTCTGTAAGTCACAAGATCTAGTGAGTTACTTCCATGTGGATAACTGTCTGATAGGAGACATAACCAGGACTGAAAATTGAGCACATGCTGATGCAGGAGTCGAGCTTGAATTCTGGTAAGTAATGAGCAAAACCTTAATGATTAAAGATGGAAATCAAGATTTTCCTGAATGTCAAAAAATGTATATGGATTCTGGAGGAGAAAAAGCTCAAATGTTGTAATTGGATTTCACATGGGGAAGACACTGGAAACGCAAGAGTTTTACAAGAAAAGCATTTATGTAAACTGACTAATTTTGCTGGAAAGTTATCTAATACAAAGCACTGAGAAATAGTGATGGTGTAGGATTTTTTTAGATATAAATTGTTTTTCAGTATTACTATGTTGATAGTAAAGGTTTGTCAAATAATTTAGTGTACATCAGGGCAAATTAAACAGGTCTGTAATTTTAGTATAGCCTTTAAGCAAAGGAGGTTAACTCAAATGACAACAGTTTGTTAATGGCAGAAGAGAGTACAAAATTACTCTAAATTAGCAAACCTGCTGAAACTTGCTAGTACATAACAGCTTTGTATACGCATATAAGCATTTAACTCTTGCTTAGTTAAAAGTGGGGGAGAATAGAAGCTGAAGTTTCTCCCCAAGTATAGTTCAGTGCCTACAATACTGCAAGCACTACTCAGTGAGAACTAGTAGGTTAAGTTAGCTGTCCCCAAAAGTACAAATACTCTACCTGTAAAGACTGATTCTACGGTATTTTTAAATCTGTCAAATTTCCATTTTAATCTGATCTGTACGACTGTAATCAGTGTGTTCCTCAAATACAAACTTAAATATCGGATCTTTTTGGAAGTTGTAAGTATTCAGGGAGATGGAGGGATAGCCAACTATAAGTGTTCAGGAAAAGAATTCCTCTAAAATAGTCCAGCTCTGAAATGCTGAACAGCTTTTCTCTCATTTTCAATTAAACTGATACCTTTAAAGAAAAACAAAATACTACCACTTATAAATAAAAGAGGTGCTGTATAAAAAAAGTCTTAGTTACCAAAAAAGTAAATAAAAAAATTCCCTGAAGCAGGAATTGTTGGTAAAGACTGAATTGGGAACTTTTGTGAAAACAGCTGAGCAAATTCCAATAGTCACATATTTTAATATAATTTCTTCCATCTGCATGGCATTAAAAGTTATTTCAGGAATAACGCTTTCAGTCATCCACTTCAAGTGATGCAAACCTATTAACATTGCATAAATGCTGTGTTTCTGGTATAGCGCACCTGATGGTCTTTTTTTTCTTATTAGATGCTTTCTTCTTTTTGCAGGACTCTGATTTGGTCTTGGTCATCTTCTGAAAGAAGTCTAGGGATACAGTTGACACCACCGTATTTAACAAAACCTGGTAAAGCTGAGTCATTTTTGGAGATGAACTGAACAGATTTTCCACTGAAGGTGTTAATTTAAGCTCTTGATACAGTCTGTGCACAAGGGTCCCACTGTAAAGCCTGCTCAAAGGAAGGAGAGAATCCTCATTTAGAATCACGTCTCAGCAGGACAGGTACAGAAACATGCTGCTTAGTGAAAAAAACGGTCTTAACTACATACAGGATCCAAGAGTGGGCTCCTAAGGGATACTTACTCCAATCAGTATTTTTCTTCATATTAGTATCTTTAAAGAAGAGAGTTCAAATGTTGTAAAATTGGCCAAAGGACTTTGACACAGAAAATAAAACAACGTGTGCGTGCATTTCATCGGGGGCTTGTATGAAAAGCAGATTTCTTGAAACATCCTTACCTAGTTAGGTCTGGCTCAGAGAGAGGAGTGCTAAGTAGCTGGTTGAGATACAATCCCATCTGAAGACAGCACTGCCACTGGCAAAAACTGTGTGCAGCATCTAAATCAAAGTCTGTATTTTGCAATTTCTTTTCCTTCCATTTTAGAAATTCATTATATGCAATACTGTCATCTTCAGCACGTACAAGTGTGGGATCTAGGTTATAAATACAAAATGACATGCAACTAAATGTTCTGCAGTGAACAGTACAAAAATTATCTGCAATGTATAGGGTCTTCAAACCTCCAGTTTGATTTCATGTTTTCAAATGCCTCAAACTGAACTTTAAGACATAAAATTGCATTAAAAAAATCAAGTCTGAACATCCATGAGAATCTGAAATTGTGAAATCGGGAATTCTATTTCTTAAGTAATTTGCTATGCTGTTCTGTGAGTGGATCAATTCCAAACAAGATTTCTGTCTCACTGCCATCCACTTGGGAAGCAGGTAGCAACCATGTCTGTCCAGTTTCTATTAGCAAGAAACTGTATAACCCTGGCATGTGTAATCTTTGCCATCAAATGAAGGACTCCTAGAGGAAATGCCACCCTAACTAACAGGTATAAATATTACTGACACAATTTCTGCGATAACTTAGTACTTTCAAATTCTCATAATACACAGGCAAATAAAGGGTGCCTGTGCAACTCAGCATTTTTAAGTACAGATGATTTTAGAAAAAGTCACAAGAAAAAAAAAAAGTTATCTGAATGCATCAATAGTAGTTACTCTGATTCTCTTTTGATGCACAAATATGTTAAGCTTATTTTTTGTAGCTTTTATATCTAAATTAATCTTTTAGTCCTAAAGAAAGCATTTGTAAATGCAAATTACTATTTTACAAGATGGCACAGTACTGTTTTATATGGATAAAATGCTAGCCTTGTTTCTCTACTCTGTATCAATAAAATGCTAGCCTTGTTTCTCTACTCTGTATCAATGCCAATAATGTGACACCTCAGGATATAGTGTAAATCAATGCTAATTCATCTGAATTTGGACAACTCACCATAATTGAGGAAAAATGAATTATTGTATAGATTTTCATAGTAGCTGAACACCTAAAATTGTCTTTGGAGACATACCTGGATCATTTGTTATCCTGTGAAGTTCTCCAGACACTATCATTAGAAGTAAAGCCTTTAACTGATGCAACTTAACTTTTGGTTCAGAACAACATATCCAGTAACACGTTACAGCAATTGGGAGTTGTAAGTGACTGGGGATAGATTCTAGGAAACTTATTTTCACTCCTAGAGTCTCCAGCAAAAGCATCTGACGGCATGATACGGGCACCTGGAAATAAATTAAAAAAAATGGACTGGAAAAATGAAGGTAAGAGACTTAATTTGCTGTGAGCTATTTCCAAAAGGCAAACAAACTTGTGTTTAAACTAGCTAGCACTTCATGTTTTTGATAAAAAAGTATTTAAGTTTCATATATATTCTGAACAGGAAATATTTTTAAATACTACTTTAAAAATGTTAGGTAGAAAGATAAAACTCATTTTTTACAATTGCTTGAAGTTAGATTTTTAAGAGGTTTCAGAGTCTTCAAATCAGGTGACTTAAACTCCTGTGTAGACTTGGTTGGAAAATCTTGTAACCATAATGCATTAAAATTACTTTGGTATGGTAAATATTTATATATAAACCTTCACTCTGTGCCTCGCAAAAATTACCCTTGCTTTGTGAGATGCAATGGTGATGTCTGTTCTTGATTATGTTGAACATGCTTACCTGTAATCACAATGAATTCTTAAGTGTGAAGCCTGCATTTTTCACCTGCAGTATATTAATGTGTTCCCTAGCACATGTTCCCTCTTTGTTGTGTTATTTAACTTCTAAAAAGTGTGTAACTTCATGCATGCAGCAAAATCATAGCAGGCTGTTCAAGTGTAATTACAGTGCTTTGTGAACCTCGATTAGGATGGTTTTGCCTCTTCTTAGGCAGACATCCTCAGGGTAGAAGATAAACTGAAGTAGGTTTTGCCTAGAGCACTTTAAACGCAGAATAACTTTTTCTTCTTCTAACCTTCTGTTGAATTGATAATTCCCGTATATCTTGTAAGGAGATTTCTTATAATAGCAGAAGCTCAAATTCATTAAACAAACAGCATATTTACCAACACCAAATGAGGGTGTCATTAATGTCTCTTTAAAATCACAGAACATGATTTTTCAAACTCGTTTCCATATTCATAATCTAAAAGGCCTGTAACAATAACCTGTGTAAAATAACCTGTATGTAGGCCTTTGGATCCATAGCTATGTGTAGCACTTAATGGTCTCAGTAGTGATCAGACTTGGTTCTTACATGAAATAGCCACCAGTAAGTGATAAAAGCATACAGCACATACACAGAGATGTGTTAACAGTTGATCTGAATGCCAGAATTGACAGAGCATGTGGCTTAAATATGCAGTATTTAAAGACACAGATGGTACTTCCAGACGTTTCAAAATTACTGCATACAAAACCTCAGTTATGCAACTTTGGGAATGGGAGATTACTTTCCATTCACAGCAAGAATTACAGTCTTAATCATTAGAATTTAAATATACAGAATTGCTAGTGGTGACCTGAACTAACCTAGTACAACTTTCCTTTGATTACAAGCTGTTTTTCAGGTGCTGTTCTGTCTGGCAAGCAGCAGGAGTCCACGTTAGCCGGACACATACTTGGCAGCAGGTAAAATTGCTGGGCAGCTGCAAGATTCATACATGAAGTAACAGTGATTTTTAGTAAAAAAGCATGGCTTATATTTTGTTTCAGAACATTGCTCTGAAACATCCATAGCTTGATCAAATATAATGTTTTGTAGTGTTAAATTGCAGTTTTCTAAGTTTCACGAAACTGAGTTCCTATAATTATAAAAGCAAGTATTAGTGTAACAGAATGCACAGGATGAAAGAAGGGCGTAGAACGGAAAATTCAGGCAATACTACATACACACACAACCAACTTTTCGTATCACTTGTCTGTTTGTTTTGTATCGGGGGGGGGGGGGGGCAGGGAGGGAAGAAAAGAAAATAAAGGCAATCTATGTAGCTTCTCAACTAACTATCACAGGCCAAGCTCGCAGCCCTGTAGGTTCCTCTGTATTACGTAGTTACTTACTGAGGTGGCATAGTTCAGGCATCACATTTAATGACCAGTTGGCAAATGTGAGTCTCAAATACTTTTTGTCACTCGTGAAACACTGTTAACCGTGATCTGTTGTGACAACCATTTACCTCAATTAACTTCTCCAAAGGAAAATGATCATCACAAAAATCTGTGGGTAGGCTTGCTGCTTGAACAAATGTTTTTTTAAGTGTCTTTTGGAATCTGTCAAATTCACATACAACTGGCAGCTTGTTGGTCTGCTGACTTGGAGAAGCAGCTTCAGTATTTTGAGATGCTTTCAGAAGTAGTCCATAGATAACTTGTCGAATGGGCAAAGCTGTGCTGTGCACGCTAGGTCTCTGCATGTTCTCCACCTGAACGTGGAGGAAGGTACTTCTTAGTATCAGGGCATCGCTGATGAATGGGGCCAGCTTACCTTTTGCCAAAGCATCGAGTACCCACCGTGGTAAGTCTGCTTTCCTGGCAGCCTCACATTCATACTTCCCATTCTGAAAAAAGTCCTCAAGGTTCACATCAGACGGAGTATAATCCTCCACTGAAGTGCACAGAAGCTCCCTTATTTCTTCTCTCTGGTGTTTCTTAAGGTATTTCAGCACGCTGTCGATGGCTTCGGTGGGCTCAGCAAACTGCGACAACCACCGCAGAAGCCCCTGAAGGCGGGCGTGCTTCCCCCCTTTCCCCGCCGCGCAGCCCTTGGGCAAGCGCACCTTGCAGAAGAACACCTCGAGGGCTGCCAGATCGACGTAGTCGTTCCCGTTCATGGCGGCAAAGAGAGGGAGCAGGCTTTTGTTCAGGTGACTGAAGTGCCTGCAGAACTTCTCCACCGAGAAGCAGCGAGCGGGAACGTAGCAGCCCCGCGTCCCCTCTCCCGGGCAGACGCTCTGCCACTGGAAGTGGCTGAGGGGGCAGTAGCCGGCCGCCAGGTCGAAGAT